TCTACTGTACACGTATAAACTAAATGCGACGTTAAAGATTTAATTATATATATATATATATATATATATATATAATTATCTGTATTCTACATTGCTATAATTTGAAGAACAATATTTTTAGTAATATTGTGAAGCTTAAACGTCTAATGATGTTTAAACTTTAAATGCTAAGAGAAATATGTAAGCACACAATTAAACGGTAAAGTTTTAAAAAAATATAGGGCAACATCATATACAAGCATAATTTACTTTTTATATAACTTATATAAGTTATTCATGACGGCTGAAAAGTCAGTTAACACGCAACGAAACGACTGAACATAAAAATGTCTTAAATCATCTTAAAACATTTTTCGGTTAACTGATTTTTGAGTCGCTCTGTATAGTTATAACATCCGTTATTACTTGCAAAATATTTTAGAATTTACGTATAAGAAACAATTTTAAAGAGAAGATCACAAAATAATTCCTAACGGAAAGATAAAAATAATTACCAGGAAGTGATAATGATAGCGAGTATTTTGATATATTCTGCTATAAAGAGCCAACGTAAAAATAAATGTCTAAAGGTTAAAAGTAGTTATTAAAGTCTTTACATGCAACTAGAAATGAATACAAGATGAAAAATTCGTGCGTAAATGACAAAACAGGAAGCAACTAGTGATGTATTCTATATAAGTTTTTGCTATTTTTATCGATTAGTTCTTATTTCACGTCAAAATTAACTGAAAATTTATTTGGGATTATGCCAACTGCCAGAATAATTTAATCTTTTAATTAAATGTTTTAACAAAAAGTTTTAATTCGTTAAAAATTAAAACTTGTATGCAAACTTAACCATACAATGAATTTTCGATTTAGCGCCTTCCTTCCTTCGTTTCTGAAATTGGCTCTAAATCAAGTATTGCGCTAAATTGAGGTACCCGAAACAATATGAATTATATGAAGTGGCAATATACACACACGTTGCAAGGAGTGTTACGAGTTTGAAGTCACGTGATTCGATGGTAGCACTGTCGTTTGCAACGCAGAATTATAAATTTAATAATTCACAGGCACAATGCTCAAACATTCTTTATTAAATATGTACCGTACAGTTCGAGGAAAATTCGTTTAGGAGTATTCATTGGTACTTTACGAAGATGACGCTATTTAAGAAGGCGCTATATCCAGGTTTGACTGTATATAATTCTTACGGTTTCAGAGTATAACTCTCGTTTTAGTATCAATTTTAGAAGCAAACAAATAATAACATTAAGTCGAGGTTTAATTGCGTATCAAATTTAAGATGTTAAAAAATATCGACTATTAATTACATCATACAATTTTAACTTTTGCAAATTTATTTATTTATTTACCCAAATAAAGTAAATATAGTGAAAAAGTATTGTGTATCTTCGCGTATTTTTACAAGAGGTTCTTATTATTATATTTTTATCATTTTACAAATTTATTAATATTTTATTTAAGGAAGTATATCGAGAAAACATTTTAATTTAAGCTTGTTCCGAAAGATGTTTTCACTCGTCTTCATCAATTAAATTATGACTGGCAAAAAATTAAAGAGAAAAAACCCCACTTTATGTCATAATAATTCGCTAATGATGTTTCCTCAAAAGAGTATTTTTCCTTCTAGTACATGTACTAAATAAATTTATTTTAGCTTTATTTAGTAACGAAAACATAAATTTTCACTTAAATTTATATTTTTCATTATAATTAAATATTATCTAACTTTCCAAATGTTGAAAAATCAACATAAATTTTGTATAGCTTAACAAGGAGTAAGTAAAGTATAAATAAATTTTATCTTTGAAATGTTTATCTAATTCTTATTTTAAATAAAGAAAAAAATGTTCAATGAAACTTTTTCGTAAAAGTTAATATAAAATGCATTAGCTAAAAGCATAAATCGTGTTTATTGCAAAGTACTTAGGATAAAATCACTAAGGAATTAACAATTAATCATAGGATGTGCCCTCCAACTACAGCACCAAAAATACAAATAGAAATGCATTGATTCAATTGTCTATCTATTTCAAAAATGAATCGAACGAGAGGAAAAAACAGATTTAGTTTTAGAAACTGAGTAAAGTAGTAGATAAGAGTTCCAGATATGTCGATGGAAAAAATCTCTCTATCTGATTCTCTATCATGGTAATAGTTCTTAAGTCCAGATAGAACGCATTTTCACCCTTCTATCTTGACTTCATAACGCATTAAATATATTTTGGTTCGAACCACAGACAGAAACAGACTTCAATTTTATTTTTATGATTTTCTTTTTTTAAGGAAAAAATTTCTAAAGCTAAATCTTTGATCAATATAGAATTTTTTTAATCCCTCTAACTAGACCTCATCCTGATGATAGCTATGAAGTCTACATGAAAAGGGTTTTTCACCCCATTATCTGTATTTTGTATAACTAGTAAGTTACTGGGGCAATTTTGGCTCGGGTCCCAGACATAGAGGGGTTCCCAAAATTTTGTCTTTTGTGTAGAAAACACGATTCGAAAGTGATGGAAAAATCTGTTTTAGCTTGTTTTGTTGAATTTATTCATATATATTTTTTTATATCTATCGATAAGAGTTGGCCTCATCTCATCTCTCCAAGATCTTAATATATCTTAAGCTAAAAATTATCGGGATGTATAAAAATTGAAGCAAAGTATTTCAAAAAACATTTAAATCTTAATTATTGAAAATAAATAATTATATTTTCCAAATTTATATGTAAAAAATAAACCTACATCTTTTTAATTTTATTAAATATTAGATTTTCTTCTAATTAAAAAGATAATAACAGTTAATAAACTTTATCTAAATTTAAAAATTTTTAAATTCAAAAATACATAATTTTAAGATATTCCCTTTTTAAATTAATATAACAATGCAATTTAAAGTTCTGCAATTAATTAAGTAATATAACTTATTTGTGTGTGCTGTTTCTTAAATTTTATTTAAAAAACTCTATAAAGTTTATATTAAGTATTTCTTTTTATTTCAAAATATCATAAAGTACAGAAGCTAACAACAAAAAATCAATTCTTTCACTTGTTTTTTTACATAAAAAAAGTATTTTTATTATTTTTTTTCGAAAAAGATATTTTAAAGAAATTTAACTCGGTCAAAATTATAAAGATTTTCAGATTTTTAATGAGCAACTTTTTTGGTTTTTATTCTTTCTTTAAAGAAAGAATAAAAACCGGAGTAAAATGTTTAATTAAACTACAAAAGTAATAAAATAAAAGATTCTAACAAAATGGTTAAAACAGAAAGTTTATCATTTTGTTTCATGATAAATAAGAATACTGTATGTTATCATGAAATGTATTTCCTTTATTTACTAAGTAAATTTTTATTGCTTACAGTTTAAATTTTCAACGCCAAATTGATTTTATTTTTAGAAACGTCAATAAATATTTATTTGTCTTATTCACTGCACACAACATGCCTTTTTCTAAAGGAACTAACTAAAATTCAATCAGTAAAATTTAATACACCAACATCCTATAAAACTTTCCATTAAAAAGAAATTCTTCATAAATTCTATCTCGTATGATTTTCATTTCAGGTTTTTTTAACTTTAAATATTTTTAGTTTTTTTTCCCTTCTTATTATGTACAAAATGACGAAGAAGTCACTGTACACTTACTTTATATAGCGTGTAATATAGGTACAGAATGCCTTTCGATCACTCTACATATACAGTACATATTTGAACAAAAATAAATTTCAATTTTAAGTTATAGATTATCTATTTTTTATAGTATTGACTACGTTAATTTAAACTATGATATGTAGAATAATAAAAAAGTCACTAATTAAACCATACAATATAAGTACTGTACAGTACTGTACAGTAATGTAACGGCTTTTTGAATGCGTATAAATTTTATACATATTCAGGATGATCAAAAAGTCATTACATAGGCTAATTTTGCCATAAAATAAACGATTAAAATTAAAATTTGTGACTGTAATATCTATAAAAATTAATTAAAATAAAATTTTAAAAATTCGTTTATTCACATCAATAATTTAAAATATGTTTTGCTACAGATAAATTTAATTGACAACAAAATAAATTTGGATATTTGATTATCATATATTGTTGTTTTAATTAATAAATTTTAAAATTTTGCAAAAAATAAATAAATTATATCAAGAAGTAAAATTTTTTCTCTAAAATTTATTATGTAGAATGTATCCAACAACTTCGAAATTCTTTAAAAATTAATAAGAATAAAAAAGAATAATAAAAAAATTTTCTAAAATTTCCTTAAAATTAAAGTACTATTCACAACGGAAAAAAATCAATAAAAAATGTCTATAAATATCGAAGAAATTCCTTAAAATTCCCTATATTTGTAAGGAAAATACATTAAAATAAATTACTTTTTCAATTTATTAAATAAATCTATTACACGTTTTATAGTTACAATGTAATATAATGTTATTAATTATTGTATTTTGTAATACTTTGCATATATATTTTATATCTAAAGTAAATATTATAAGTTATAAAACTAATAATGAATAACTACGCGTAATAAAACATCTCGTTATCTATTTACAAGGTGAACAACTTATATTTAACTCGAATGAAATCTTGATAATTTTTTATGCTTATTCTAAGTAATAATGGTGTTGTAAAGATAAAAATCTTATTTAGCAAGTTATCGACTTTAAAAATAAGCCCTTTATACGAATTTCTATCGGAAATTTAGTAAATTTATAACATATAAACGTGATTACCTTAGTTCTTACTTGAACAGCTTGTAACACAGACTGTGCATTGACACAGATGCCATAGTAAATATTACGTTTGGTACTATAGTAGTACTTTATGAAAACGTTGGTTTTTACTTAGGCAGGAAAAGAAAAAATACAACGTATTAATAACCCATTAGGCTCTATTGATGTAAAAATTTTCATTGATGCTAGAGTTACTATTTGTGATTGACCTTGTCATTCACAAGTACATTCTCCTTTCGTAGATACATTTGCGCATGCTTCGCTCCAAGCCAGACAACAGTTAGATATTTGCCCTCCTCAGACAGACCAGTCATCATCATGGGAACGAGTCTATCCAAAGGTTCCTATGGTTTCTCTAAGAAAGGTCAAGATGGTATTTCACCGTTGGATGATCCACCCATACCGGCAGCACCCGATCCTCGTCTCCCTCTCACTGCCAGGCAAAGGTTCAGCATTTCCAAATCGTGGAAAGGAATATCGAGAGCAATGGAATCTACCGGAATCAATATGTTTATTAAGTAAGTTGTGCATTATTTCCTCCAGCGGCATTCTAATTAATTAAAATTTAAACCTTTCGTTCTGTGCCTTTTCATTATTTATTTATTTGACTTATTTTCATTTAATATTAAGATGGTAAACAAATTCTGTTTAAAATTCTAGAAATTCGATGTAAAAGATTGCATATTTTTCCTTTAATTCTGCAAATTTTAGCTTAAATATTTATTAAATTATAGGTTTGTTTTAATCTACGCTCGTAAGCATATTTTGTATGCTAATTTAACATAATCTGTTAATAGAACGAATATAAATTTATCTCCAATAATAACAAAGACCGTTCTGTAATATTTATTTAAAGTAGATGCAAATTTAAACCTATATTAAACTCATTATATGCTAAATAACTAGAGTAAATGTGGGGACATGAATTTCCTTGCAAAGCACTTCCAGTTTATATAATTTGTTAACCAAGCACGTAAATATAGAAATCGCCAATTCTTCATTGAGCAATTCGCCTCCACAAATAGAATACTGGTTTTTAATTCGAAAAAAATCGAGTGGAATTTGCTAAAATAATTTTATTTTTTCACAATTTTGGCTCATTTTAACGTTTATTCTACAAAAACTTTAATGATTTCCATTTTCATATATCAAATTTTAATATTATCGTTCAATGAAAATCAATTCTTCAGAAGCAAAGCCCATTCAATCGATAAATGAGTCACCTGTCTTACTGATACAACAAAAATGACAGGAAGAATCAATGCCCTACATCTACAGAACTTACTTAAATTTCATAACAAATTTCTACTTCTTTTTTTATTCTATAACGAAATTATGGCGTGACGTCAATTTTTCAAATAAGTAAGTAAAATATGTTTAATCCAGGATTTCCTATAACGTGACTTATTTTTAAGAAAATTTTGTGACTTTTATCGTTTAATGATCTAATTATTCGATTAAAAAATAAAATTTCGCTTATTGGATAATTTAAAAATAAAAATATCGTTCATTGGTTTATTTAAAAACAAAAATGACTCTTATTGGTGTATTTAAAAATAGGAATATCGTTTAATGGATGATTTTAAATTGAAAACATATCTAATTGGTCTATTTATTTTAAAACAATTTAATACGTAATTTAAAATAAGTATTTACCAACTATAATTGGTTGAGTACGATTTCAATTTTATTTATCGTGTTAATTATGTTTTTAGAAGTTTATTCCGTTAGTAATTTTACATTTACGTGGATTTCCGCTAAGTTCAAATTTAACCTAAGATTAATTACATTAATAGTAGAGATTTTAAAACACGTGGAATTTTCGATATTTAATTGATTTATTTATTTAAATTTTTCTAGATTATTCGAAGATAACGAAGACATTCTACATCTTTTTAAAAAATTTCAATACTTGAAAACACACGAACAACAAAGAGACAGCATGGAGTTAGCCCAACACGCTTCTATTGTTATGTCAACTTTAGATGAAGGAATAAGATCTTTAGACAATATGGATTACTTCTTAGATTACTTACATTCTGTCGGAAAGCTTCATCGGAAAATTCAAGGCTTTAACAGAGATTTATTTTGGGTACTTATTCCTTATTTTTATTATAATGATGTTGTATAATATAATTATTTATAATTAGCGTTTAGATTTATTATAGTCATTTGTATTATATAAGAATGAAAGAATATCTGGATAGATTCCGTATAAAAATATTGTGTAAATTATTTTATTAAATGTAATGATAATTTAACATAATATACAGATTTATTTTTTATTATTGTTTTAAGTGTTCAGAATATTGACACTCTAAGATTTATTCCTTTTTTATAAAAGATAAAGCAATTTCTTATTCATCTAATACTTTTTGTTATAATAATAATAATAATATTCTTATTTATAATTTTATTGCTTCAATATAGATTTCCGCTATCGATTACTAGAAAAATTAAAAAAACCCTTTTAAGATNTATTCTTATTTTAACAAATTTACAAACGCTACAGCGCCTATATATTTTTCTTTAGATGAATTGCATAGGTTTAAAGCAAAACATTAATAATAAAAAAAGACATGCTAATGTGCAAGAGATAAGTGATGAATGAAATTCCTAAATGAATAAAATCAAATAATATGAATAATTTAACAGAGAAAATTTTATTACATTTACAACTTTAATAGAATTTAAGAAAATATAATAAATCAACTCGGAAATTTAATAAAATCTTAACGCTGATTTAAATATTAAACTAGAAACCTTTCTGTAAATAAGTGTTTTATGTTAATAAATAATGAAGAATACATCGAGCAGTTCTTCAGTAGCTCAATCAATATTTCCTGATTAGAAAATGCGAATGATTCATGAATAATTAGAGAAATTATCCATTAAATTTAACTGTTCGGCATAAACATAATTATAATTATCGAAATAAATAAATAAAAATTAAATGGTATTGATTTTAACATTTAGATAAAATAAGGCAACACAAATTAATAAAAGGTTTAAAATGTGGATTGGAATGTTTAATAAATAATATTTAAAAAAGTAAACAATCATTTCTTTTCTGATTAATACTGTATTTTAAGATTAGAAAAAAATTAGAAAAATTGATAACTGTTAATTATAAATATAGCCTAATTATAATTATCAAAATAACTTGACAAATTAGTAAATACATTAGATTCTTGATAGTAACCATTCGATATACCGAACTTTTTATATAGTGAACAATTTTATTGGCCTTCGCTATTCTTTGTGCGAACGAGTCAACTCTCGATATAGCGAATGATTTAACTCGGTCGCTATATCCAGAGTCTACTGTAATAAGATAAATGTACATTTAAAAATAGCGCATTAATATATTTTAAATAATAATAAATTATTTATGTTATTTACTCTACTTTTTGTGTAAATTGAGATTTAAAGTACGAAATTTAACGACTAAAAAAATTTAAAGTTAGTCGATTATCATAAGAATATGGTCATTTAATCTTCTTTTTTCTCCTCATAATTATCATTAACGTGAAAATATTCTCTACGGAGAAAGAAAGAAAGAAAATAATCTCCAGAGAATATTTTACTGCTATTTTCTGCCTCTCTAATGTAAGCATTAATAATCTTATGGCGTTGTGTTTATTCTTCATATTCATATTATCGACTCGGAATGCCTTCGAGTACATTTTAAAACATTTAAGTCATTAAAAATATTTTTAATAAATAAATGCTTTTATGATAAGTACTGTACATCGTAATAAATTAATTTTTTGTCAGTTGAGTTTCATTATAAAACGATAGTTAAAGTAACTAACGTTTACATTGACTCTCTAAATAAACCTAGTTACAGGAGTATAAAAATATAGTTTATACTCCTGTATTTATAATAAAATATATTTTTAAAAGAAGAATAGAGGATCAGAAAATAGTAGGAGTAAAATTTGGATATGGCTTATCAGAAATGGAGGAGGAAATTAAACTTCAACGTAAGATAACTTGAAAGGTTAATGGATTTAAATAATTAGAATCGTGTTTACAGGAAGATGAAGATGTAGCAAATGGGATTAGTGCAGGATATTAAACGTTAAGATAGGCTAGTAGATTTCTTAAAATTAGATAAAAAATAATTTTGTAAGACAATATTTAGGTTGTAGCTATATTACTTGAAATTAAGAATGTTACTGGGGAGTAACGAAAGGACAAATTACGAAGATGCAAGTAACAGAAATGAAAATGCTAAGGTGGACGAGTTGAGTAACGTTGAAAAGTAGTCTGCAATAGTTTGATTAGAGACAGTTTAAATGGCAAACTAAAGAAAAAATACAAAGAAAATTAAGAGGTGGTTAGACTATGTTGTGAGAAGAGATAAGACTGAGTTAGTAAGAAAAAGAAAGTAAGGATTTAGATGACATGGGTCAATGAAATCTTAAGAACTAGTTACTGGGATAGATAAGTTAGAGTCAAGGATAGAGGGAGGATTAGCTAGAAGTAGGATAGATTAGAAGGCAAGAACAACAAAATCAAATCCACTCGGATGAGACAAGAAAATGAGAATCTTGTTGACATTTTCTATTGCTAAAATTGTTTTATAAGTTTACATCACCATCATCATCATTCGTTTTTTTATAAACTATGAAGGCTCGTTGCTTGCTTGTCTCTCTGTTTTTCCCTCTATCTTCCAGTCCTTCGCTCTTCACCTTTCGACACAGTTCCTCATTTCCTTCCTTCGGTCTTCCCCTTGTTTGTAATGTCATTGTGTTGTCAGTCTCGTGATCAACATATCTTGTCCATCCAAGTCTATGACTTTGTGTCCAACGATCAACGGTTTCTCAAATAGATCATAAAGTTCTTTGTTTTTTCTGCTTCTCTTGGTATCCGAATCTCTCTCTCATAAATTGGTCCATATACTTTGCCAATGATCTAAGTTTTACCAATATAAAGATCCATAAAGTAATTTAGAATCTTTTTATGCAATTAAAACCCACAAGTTTATAATTTTTAATGCAATTTATATTACTAAATTAGATTTAACAATTCAAATATTTGGAAGAGCTGGTTATTGCGTTGTAATTACATTTAAGAGTTAGATTTAATTACATGTAAACTTAATATTCATCAAATTATTTATCTTTATAGAAGATCGAAAAACCATTCCTATCAGCCGTACAAGAAACATTAGGAGATAGATACACGGATAACATGGACTCGATTTATAAAGTCACTATTCGATTTATTTTAGAAACAGTAATCAAAGGCTACGACATGGCCGAAGATGAGACAAACGGTACACCGAGTGAGGAAAACGACGTTTGACAACACGGTTAAAAAGAAGAAGATGAGGAAATCCATCGAAAGCCTTGGAGATGCCGTCCCAGGCGACATTCTTTGTCCATTCGTCGCCATTTGATACAAATGTGTACGTGATACATGTTCGAAGTGACTGACATCGATATCTTGTATACAATGAACGTAATCAGTTGTTAGTTGTATCAATGACCCTGTTCCAGACGAACGTTTCTTCTTGGATGTCGGTGGTGATTCTTAGTACCGAATGGACGACCAAAATATATATAAATAAATATATATATTAAACTGCAAAAAACTTCGATGTAAAATTCAAATTCATTGTGCCATCTATTTCATCACGTTTAAGAAAATAAAGAAATTCCATATAGTGTCTCCATAGTCGAATTCTTTTAATTAAATTATTTTTAAACTTTCAAACGACAGTTTTTATATAAGAAAAATCTACATTTGAAAAGACTAAAATATATATATATATATTTTTCTTTAGATGAATTGCATAGGTTTAAAGCAAAACATTAATAATAAAAAAAGACATGCTAATGTGCAAGAGATAAGTGATGAATGAAATTCCTAAATGAATAAAATCAAATAATATGAATAATTTAACAGAGAAAATTTTATTACATTTACAACTTTAATAGAATTTAAGAAAATATAATAAATCAACTCGGAAATTTAATAAAATCTTAACGCTGATTTAAATATTAAACTAGAAACCTTTCTGTAAATAAGTGTTTTATGTTAATAAATAATGAAGAATACATCGAGCAGTTCTTCAGTAGCTCAATCAATATTTCCTGATTAGAAAATGCGAATGATTCATGAATAATTAGAGAAATTATCCATTAAATTTAACTGTTCGGCATAAACATAATTATAATTATCGAAATAAATAAATAAAAATTAAATGGTATTGATTTTAACATTTAGATAAAATAAGGCAACACAAATTAATAAAAGGTTTAAAATGTGGATTGGAATGTTTAATAAATAATATTTAAAAAAGTAAACAATCATTTCTTTTCTGATTAATACTGTATTTTAAGATTAGAAAAAAATTAGAAAAATTGATAACTGTTAATTATAAATATAGCCTAATTATAATTATCAAAATAACTTGACAAATTAGTAAATACATTAGATTCTTGATAGTAACCATTCGATATACCGAACTTTTTATATAGTGAACAATTTTATTGGCCTTCGCTATTCTTTGTGCGAACGAGTCAACTCTCGATATAGCGAATGATTTAACTCGGTCGCTATATCCAGAGTCTACTGTAATAAGATAAATGTACATTTAAAAATAGCGCATTAATATATTTTAAATAATAATAAATTATTTATGTTATTTACTCTACTTTTTGTGTAAATTGAGATTTAAAGTACGAAATTTAACGACTAAAAAAATTTAAAGTTAGTCGATTATCATAAGAATATGGTCATTTAATCTTCTTTTTTCTCCTCATAATTATCATTAACGTGAAAATATTCTCTACGGAGAAAGAAAGAAAGAAAATAATCTCCAGAGAATATTTTACTGCTATTTTCTGCCTCTCTAATGTAAGCATTAATAATCTTATGGCGTTGTGTTTATTCTTCATATTCATATTATCGACTCGGAATGCCTTCGAGTACATTTTAAAACATTTAAGTCATTAAAAATATTTTTTTTATATTTAAATTCTTAAAAAGTTGGTAAGGATTTGAATAAAATTGATATAGGCTAAGTAATTTCTTTTTATACGAGAAGATAGACATTCTGTCACGTTATCTTTGATGATTTTCGATCAAAAGATATATTTATTCGGTTTTGAAGATAACACGGCCATTTGTGAAAGGAAATATTTTTCTAAGAAGCTCAGGAAACTTTCTATAAAGAAGGATATCCCTAGGGAAGAATGTCTTACATCAGAAATGCATTCAAGTGAGCGATGTTGTTTGAACATGTGACTTTTATTCTCCTTTGACAACCCTCGGCCGAGAAGAATTAAAAACTTATAACGCTTTCATCGGGGTTCTTAGTAAAGCAATACTGAAGTATCACTGTATAGACTTTAATTTATAATCTGTTATTTATACCCCGAGCTAAATTCAGAATATTTCTAAACAAGCGTTTTAAAATCCCTTCTAAGCTACTTATCGAATGTTTCCTGAAATTCTTAACAAGGAATTATAAACAAAATTCGATATTCTAAGTAAAATTTCAATAATATCTTTCGGCGGTATAAAAATGTTTCTTTTCATTTTCATTTTAAAAAGCTTTATTAAATTAAAATTCATTTTTAATCTTTAATTTATCGGTAATTTAACTATTATAAAATTTTATAAAAGTATTAAAATTTTTATTTTAAATTTACTTTATTTAACTTTTAAAAAATTTCTCTAATTTTTAATCATTTTTATAAAAATAATTTTATAAACGAAAATTAATATTAAATTAAATTTTATGTAATTTATCTATAATTTTAGAAAAAACTAAATTCTTTTATAAAACGAACCGTGTTAAAAAAAAAAAAGGCGAATGTAAAATTCTTTTAAATGGCCAAAATTCTTTGGACAAAAGAAATAAATCAAGAAAGTTAGCGCAAACAAACAATTTTATTGTCAACGAGAGCTCTTTCTGACAATAAAATTGTTTCTGATGTCAGCAAAATTGTCTTTATTTCTAGTTTATTGACACCCGGGCGGTTTAGAATCGATGTTTACACATGTAAACAGCGAGAACTCCCGAAAGCAAACGTATAATCTGTTTCGACTTTAATATCGTCGGAATAGAAACTATACGTAATATAACTTTACAAATAATTGTTTACGGTATATTATGTATTCATAATAACAATATACAACCCGTTTGCAACCACACACTGCGTAGTATATTGTAATGACTCGTCACGCAAGCTTCCGAACGTCGAGAGCCATCAAATAGTTTAGATGCTATGTAGGTACGTACAGTACATACAATTTACGTAGGTTCTATTTACATATTTAGATAATAATATATACGCACGCGGGTATCTCAGAAATTACTTAGCCGTGCTTCGTTTTGTGTATTCCCGGTACACTCGTGTATATAAACGTACACCGAATCTGTATTTATGTATTGAATAAGAAATATTTCATTTTGAGAAAGTTTTGTAAAGGTTGCACATCGAAAAAGTATTCGAATAAGTAGCAATTTATTCTTTACCGACTTTCAACCGCTTTTGGATCACTCTATAGGCTACATAACATAATTTACTAACCCGAATTTATTATAAGTGATAAGTTCGCGAAGGTCTACGTAGCTTATTTCGTATAGTCTCGAAAGCTATCTTTTAGGAAAAGTTTTCGATATTTCAAAAATAAAAACATTTTTTAAGTTTATAAAACAATATCGCAACATTCCTCGATTATTTTCTATCATAAAATCACCTAAAGATATAATTTTGGCGCACTAAAAAATTGACCGTCTCGCCCTGGACGAAGCTATCATCCCTCACTTCTGAAATTACTCGGTAAGACGAGCGAATGAAACAATTATTTTGTTAGCTTATACTATAGAAATGCAACGCAACCATGTTTTCTCTCCTAAAATCAACTAAAAATATAATTTATGTTAACTAAAACATGGACCGTATCGCCCTAATACGACCTTAAGCCTACACTTTCCGAGGCACTCAATAAAATAAGCTATACGAAAATATATTAACGCTATATAATGCTAAAGTCTAATATATTTAAACTTATTTCAAATAATTACTCTTATTACTAAAGTATCACGTCTTTATTGGCTCGGTCTATTCATTAATTAAACATAGAGGAAACCGACGAAGGATGTAATTATAACGACAGAGAGAATTTAACAAATTTTTAATTATAAAAGCTTAATTGCCATCTGTGGATAAATCCATTATCTTTTAAACACAGAAACGAAGTTATTTTTAGACTCCACGGTGAATATTTTTTCACTTAAAACGTCTTAAAGATAGAAAAAATTATCCAAGGAGCTTCCTCTCGACTCAAATTCGAGCATTTTTTTTACTACCGTTATAAATATATTGTGTATCCGTTGGTCCGCGCGTCGGGAAATTCGATAATGGATAATTTTAAATGGATTTGCCAGGGAAATTCGATAATACCAATCGAATGGTAACAGCTTCCGGTAGTTGGCTGTATATTTCCACTTCCGGTGATAAGGGATGGTGTAAAGATCGTTAAATCGATTCGACTCGACCGCGAGAAAGGATCGATAGAATCGAAGGAAATCTGTTCCGCACACTTCAAACCGCAAAAATTTCAGTTAAAGTCGTTTGGAATATTGGCCATAACACGTTACGTCCGAAAATTCCTCTTCCTCTCGAATTTCGGCAAAGCCATTTCTTCTTTCAGCCCATTTATTACGCTATACCGAACGGCGCGTAAATCAAAAACATTTTAAATTTTAGAAATATGTGTAAAAACACGTGTAAGAAACAAAGATGCGTTATTAAAATGTATTATTATTATTATGGAATAAATTTAATTTCGATTATAAATAATTAATAAAAATTATCCGTCGTGGACAAGAGAATTAAAGCGATTAATAATTATTTCGTAACCGTCCGAGCCGTTAGAAATATTTTTGATTTATCAGCTTTTATAATAAACGTAACAGGTAAGATTTGAACGGGGCTGTAAAGATCGCCGGTACGAACAGTCGGAAATAAACTCCCGGAATATCTTTTACCTGGTCTTAACACAATTTAAATGAAATGGACATAACTTTTTAAACGTAACCCTCGATGTTCCGACGCAGATTTACGGATTATCGCGTAGTAATTAAAGGCAGATCTTAAAATTAGAAAGCGAAACGAGTAATTATTGCCCGGGACCTTCGATTTTTGCCACGAATACTTTCTCCGTCGTTTAGTTACTCCATTAAGGAACTAATCGAAAGATGGCGGATTTTATCGTTACGGTACTGTAATTGCATTTTGTCTAAATTATTTATAAAATAAAACTTTCCAATAAAATCGACTATAGCGGCGATAAAAATATATTTTCTTAAATTTAATCGTATTTTATTTTTATAGACCTATTTTATAAAAGTTCAATTAAATTCTATAAATGTTTAATGTAATGGCTTAAAAAGAATTTATAAATTTCGTGTAAAAATTTAATTAAATTACCGTATTAATATAATAGTTATTATTTAGTAAAGTTAGTAAACGATTAAATATTTCACTCGTCCGTAACGCCTCGCCATCTGCCGGACAGAATATAAATTAGTCACGAAACCGTTTTTAATTATCGACGTAATGGATTTTAAAAATAGGTAATTATTATCGGACGATTATTATAATATATTATAATTTTAAGAAATAAAATATTTGTTTTCGTTTTAAGCTAGT